TTATGTTTACGCGGCACGATGCAACGCAACGCGTAAAAAGACAGTATAAGTCATTATAATCCGTAATTATGTCCCCACTGGATGCAACAAATGCCTCGTTTGTAATGGGTTTTAATGTTTTTGTCTCGTCGCTCCGGCCGGGACACGGCATCACAGTATGGTAGGGGCGTAACATTTCCGTCACACGCTTGAGGTATTCGGCCAAGCACAACGCACTGGATAGCTGGCCAATCACAGCACACCTCGCTTTACAGACCGATGAGCTTTGTAAAAATCGACGCGTTTCAGAAAGGCGGGGCATAGAGGAGAAACAATAATGTACAGTATGTGGAAAATAATGTTTTTTAACCTTAAAACACAAACACATTTCATTACACCAAATACACAATATAATGTTCTTTTTAGCAACATCCTATGACCCCTTTAATAATATAATATTTTTTATAATGATATTTAACATCATTCATTCATGACCTACACTTGTTGTCTGTTGCCTTTCCAACCTGTTCGCTTCCAAACAACAAGAGAAACACCTTTTTTATTTACAGGTTAAGTGTGTGGGATGAAATCAACGTTTCTAGTGGCTTAATGATAGTATTAAACTACTAAATATAATAACTATAATACTGCATATTGGGGCAAATATTTGCTAGTCCTTATAATGTATAATTTCACTAGTAGATTACATTTAAATAAATACAGTTTAAATTGATTTTTTAAAATATTTTGAGAGAATGCAATCACTGATAATTCTATATATATATATATATATATAAACAACAGACAATGATGTAACTGTTAAACTGTAAAAAAGGTGAAATCATAATTTAAAACATTTAAAATGTAAAGCATATAATCAGTGTCAATAAATACTGTATATACTGCACTGATGCAGTGACAATATGCAAGCTATTATTCTGTATTTTCAGAAAAGCAGAACAAGTCCCACTAAATCCTTGCGGGACTGTTGCATTGTAAAAGATATAGTACAAGCCAGACTGCAGTGACTATACAACAACTCACACTGTACAGTTGCAATGTGACAGTGAAAACAATTCAAATGAGACTGGTGAAAAGTCACTGAGCAGCACTCACATCTTTATTGCCATTTGTTGATGGATCATAATGACCATGGCAGTACCTGAGGAAGATCAGAACACACAGAACACAGACTTAACACTACAGGAGAAAAGGCCAAAGTGTATAAGTGATGGTGTTTAAGTCAGCTTCCCTTTCATGGAACTGTCTATTCAACAAATTCAACAAGAAAAAGAAACTTATTTTGGGGGTAATTGGTAGGTGGATATTAATTAAAAATTGTTTCAAATTGTTTCACACCGAATGGAGTCAGACTTGAATGAGAGTTTGCAGTGGATTGCAGAGGAGGACTTTTGAAGAAGCTTTTTGACAGAAACATGGAGGCTGATGGTAAAGTTAAAAGCTATTGGTTAACATACACAATAGTGCAGCCTAGGAGGAGCGACTTTTATAGTAGATTACAAAAGACAAGCATTTTTCTTTTTGAATAATGTGCACTGATGAATAAGGACAGGAATGTGTATTAAAGGGTTAGTTCACACAAAAATGAAAATTAGCTTGTGTTTTACTCACCCTCGAGGCATCCTAGGTGTATATGACTTTCTTCTTTCAGACGAATCCAGTCGGAGTTATATTAAAAATTGTCCTGGCTATTCCAAGCTTTATCATTGCAGTGGGTGAGTGTTTCTGTTGAACAGTCTACAAATCGTCAAATAAAGAGCGCACATCCATAATAAAATGTGCCTCACACGGCTCCGGGGGGTGAATAAAGGCCTCCTGTAGCGAATCCATGCGTTTTTGTTCGTCACGCGCGCTCCTCTGAGGTATGCTAGTCTCTCGAGTTTGTTTACAGGAGCAAAGGAAGCAAAGTTTCCTTACTTTAGCAAAGGAAAACCAGTCTCCCCTTGGATTATATCGAAATCGAAAATTTTGTTTTGTTCTCTCTCCGCGTTCGTCACTAATCACGCAACGCCGACGTCTTACGTCATTGACCAGAACGGCTTCCGCGTACCACAGATAGATGAAGTGAGAGAGAAGTGTTTATTACGTTTGAAATATGGATATTTTTCTGACAAAAACGCATGGATTCACTACAGGATGCCTTTATTCATGCCCCGGAGCCATGTGAGGCACGTTTATTATGGATGCGCGCACTTTATTTAACGTGTTTCGGACTGTTGAACAGAAACACCTGCCTACTACAATGATGGAGCTTAGAAGTGGCAGGACGATTTTTAATATAACTCCGATTGGATTTGTCAAAGTCATATACACCTAGGATGCCTCGAGGGTGAGTAAAACACAGGCTAATTTTCCATTTTGATTTCATGTTGTATTTGTGATGCAGAAGAGGGCTAGGGGTCAGTGCAGAGTGGTACTCACTCTTCAGCCATACGCGTGTCTTTGAGAATGTGAACGTAGATGAAAAGAGCCTGCTCATGTTTCCCCATACGACCCAGGAGAAGAGCCCTCTCCTCCAACAGACCTGAGAGAACCAGAGAGAGGAAGGGGAGGAAGCAACACAAGAACAGCATTTGTCATCCAGTTTTATTTCTAGATTTTCTATTGTATGCCCCTGACCTGTACACTCACCATCAAATGGGAAATCACTGATGAGTCGCTCTGGCTCATAGCTGCTGGACACTTCCAGAAACGACAGAAGCTTGCTCCTGTACTCTCCCAGCTCTCCCGCCTCCTTTCCTGCAGCTACAGCTGGAACACCTGGACACAGTCAACACAGCGCACTTGGCCTTTAATTCATCTAGACGGCAAGTCTTCGTTTTAGACATGTTTATGCATACTCTGTGTCACAATTTTTTTGTTATCCATTATTCTATTCCTTCTTTTTGTAAAACCCTGTCTAGCCCACACCCACTCAATTTTTACACAAATTATGACTCTCTTTCAGACGTGTCGTCATTTCCATCAGAAAAAACAATCGTGTTGCTAATAAAGGGTTTATTCAAAACGTATAGTACTAGTGAAGAGCACTGCTATAAGTACCACAAACTCTCAGAAAATATTATTTTGTTTACTTTCCTTAAGAATTAAATGAATGTTTTGGTGGCTTAATTAAAGTATGATAATAAAGTTATTTTATGAAAATTAAATTCTGAATATAAGTGGGTAGGTAGAAGATATTTTGATGGCAAGAGCTGTGTTATACATTTTCTATTAGTTACAAAGTAGAAACACAATAAAATAAAGCCAATCAAAATATAATATAAATGTACAATGGTGTCTCTACAGTTAACGACAACTTGCTTGCTTTTTATGAAAAATCAAAACACTCACATAAATAATATTTACTAAAAAAATGACGTGCTGGGGAAAAACACATGCCAAGTATATTAAAAACAGCACAATCAATCCGTCAAAGCACATGACACATACAATTATGCTTCTTTGAATTATTGAATATATAAGTGTTGTAGTTTTTTGGATATCTTGGGTTCTGCACACTGTTTCCACTGTAGCTCATGTTTTTTTCACTCCATACTACTATGAAGTGATGTCACAGCATATAAATTACCTAATGCGAAAAATTACTTTTATTATTTTATAATTTGCATGTTTCTTAATAACTACACAATATGAAGCACTTCTATCTGAGAATGAAAAATTATTGTACCAAATATCATCCTAAAAAAAGACAAACTTTATCTCAAATTTAGTCAACAGCAGTCACCAGAGATTATGCTGCAGTGTTCATTATTTTTGTATAGTTTCAGCTGCTGCAGACAGACTGAATTTCCCTTCTATTACTTCAGTAGATATTGTGCTATTGTTTCCAGCAGAACCGCTCGATCAGCTCTCATAAAGCAGTGTGAGTGAGTGACAGCTGCGTGTCTGACCTTCAGGCAGTGAGTTGAGGTACACTTTCATGAGGCCTTGCACCTTCTCCAGGTAGAGCTGGATCAGAACATTGTGGAACTCGGGCCGTGTCTCGTCCCACAGGTGAATGATGTGCTCCAGGTACGGGATGGCCAGCTCCTGGAAGCCCTCCTTCAGGAAGTTCAACACCTTATCCCTGGGCAGAGTCTCCACCTCCGTCAGGTCCTCAGTGAAGATCTGAAAGTAGAAAAAAATAAATCAAACTCAAGCGTTTCAAAATGACCACAGAGTACATGGGTCAAAGACGAAAAAGGGTTCAAGCATAAAAACAGTACTGCTTTAAATTGTTGTTCCCCCCCCAAATTTTTTTTTTAAGTTTTCCGTTTCAAGTAATTGTATTTTTGTTTTTGTTTTTCTGAGCAAAAAATAAATATCATACATTTTCCCCTGATTTACAGAAGACACCCACTAAAATGTCATTTAGTGTAACAATCTTGTCAGGCATATTTACAACAAAAATCAATTTATGACATATTAAAAAAACTAATTACTTTCACCCCAAATACTAATCAGTTGTTATTTTAAATTTTTGTAAATTTGCCACTATCCTAGGTTTTGCCCATTTGTCAGTAAGAATTTTTTACTCATTTAAAACCCAATAAAATTTTATATGCTCACTTATTCTTTTATATATTTTAAGTGTTACACTGAATGACAATGGAACATTATTATTTCAACCAAATTTTGACATTTTATTCTTCAAAAACTTATTTGAAACCTTAAATGTAGACACTTTACTTGTATTTAATGTGCATTCTATGGACATAAAATCACTTTTGTAAATTTATTTTGATGCGGACATCTTAACGTCTTTGACCCACATATAAATACAACCAGATCATGTTTATCTCGCCTTCAGTCCATCCTCTGGACAAATCTTCAGAACCCACGGCGAAAACTCAAATATGATGCCCAGGTTCTCCACACCTGAAACACATCATATTGTTGATCTAGTCTGAAAGAACAAATATTACTTATCATCCCAGTGTTACTAACACACAGAATCAGTCGGCTGGTTTCTATACTGTATTTGTGGGAAATGGATTTTAACGTTCAAAAGTGTTAAAAGGAGATGAGAGTGCTACACTCTTACTGAAATTAGATTTTAATTAGATTTAAGAACAAATAATACCATTATTATTATTACATTTTACATTACAAAAGTGAAATGACAAAACTCAATTTTACAAAAAATGACTGATTTTTGATTTCGATATTTTTAAACCTTCCAACTTTTATGCTGATGGAAAACTGCAGGGAGCCTTTAAAGCTTTTCTTTTGTTCATCAGTGTTTTTCTTAACAAGTATGAGAAGATGGTTGGTGCATGTTGCACTCACAAATTTACTTTAATGCGACCCGAACTGATAGCAACTGATGCAAAGATGAGCTCATGTGGAGCTGCATTTGTTGAGACACAGCAGCACATAAAGATCTGCTCACGTGTAAATGAACACAGTGCCACGCTTCACTCTAAAACAACTATTTAATAATTGCACTAAGCCATATTTTGCCAATTCGCCACTAAGCTGATTTTGGTTTTATTTGGTATAATCAAGCAGCTCTAGGTGGGAATCTCCAAAAAATCCACTGAAATTTTGCAGCTGCGGAGGTAATGTGGGACTGCGAACATGTTTAAGACTCTGGCTCACTTCTCGACCTTCAGGCAAAAGAGGGCATCCAAACACTCTAAGGATAGCTAAGTAAATTCTAAGCTTCAATGTGCACAATCCTAACTACAGCACTTAACTTGTTTGTTAACTAAGTAGTATATGTGCAGTAAATGAGTGTGGTCGTCTTACCCAGTCTCTGAAGATACTGTACAGTCCTCTCATGCCCCTTCAGAGGAGAGTTGGCTTTGGTGGACTGATCCAGCAGAACCTGCAGAGCTGGACAATCACACTTCTGTAAGTCTACTGTCAATGCTGGCATACAAACAGAAATCTGTGTATATTCATGAAAGTGATGTTTATATAAATAAGTTTGTTTGGCTGCAGTGAGAGTTTTTTAGGCAGTGTGGATCCACATGGCCTGCTCCTCATCATCTCTTCTGTAAGGCATGACATCAACAAAACAGCCCAGGACATGATTAGATCATCTCTGTAAACAAGAGCGGTTCTGAGCCCTCCAAATCATATCCAGATGCTTGAGGACACCCACAGAGATTACACTCCTAATGGAGATTACTGGAGGTCACATAAACATTCATATGACAATCTACTTTCTTCTCAGTAAGCGGAAGCTGAGAAGATTGAGCACACCTTTCTGATGAAGGCCTTTTTTCTCATAGAGGATGATGAGTTCGCTGTATTTGTGTGCTTTCTTCAGCACATACTCGCTCTCCTCTATGTGACAGTGGTTGTTCTCCAGCCGCAGGAGAGGCGACACTAAGGCTACATTGGTCTGTAGATTAAAAAAAAAAAAAACATTCTTAAAATCGAGATAAACTGGCTATAGTGATCTGCTATCATCGGTCTTCACTGTATTTTCAATTTCAGTTTGAATCAACAATGGCTGTTAATCAAGGCTCAATTTCAGTTAACATGCTGTCTGGACTTTGCAGAACAGAGCTACTGAGAACAATCGGAAGGCCTTACGTGGAGGTAACATTTCAGCAGAGTGGTGTCGATGATCTGAAGGAGCTTCTTGCGGCTCTTGATGGTGGGGGTCCCCTCCATGAGAGGGGAGGTGGTGAAGGGGTCCGAGTCATTCAGCTGCTTCACTAAATGACTGCGTTTCTATCACAAAAGATGCAGAGAAGACTGTAACAAGATGAAAAGAAGTTTAAAAACACTCCGTATGAAATTGTTGAATCGTGAATACCTGTGTTAGGTAGTCTATGAGGGCCAGGTGGGCTTTCTCCAGCTCGGCTCCAGACAGCACAGGCAGAGGGTTGGGGTAGTGCAGCTGTTTGCGGTAGTCAGAGGGGAGCAGGTCTGGATACAGTCCAATAACATGAGTGGGATCTATATAAGAGAAGAGCAAATCCTAAAGTCAATGGGGTTTTTTGACTGGGTTTTTGGTTAAATGTCTGAAATCAGGTCTGTGGTGAACAAGCTCAGGATACTTTCACATTTTTCTACCATATAAAATATATCAGTTATACCAACTTGTGATTTATTTTTATTTTTTTTATGTTTTACTTGAAAAATGAGTTTGCTAACAAGTGTCTAAATGGGACTATAGAGGTTGTGGAACAGATAAACTCATCTACTCACTAGTCACAGTCTCATTGTGTTTATAATGCCTTACTATTCTAACTCCAACTTTCAGTGAAGATGGTTTTTTAAAGGGGTCATATGATGCGATTTCAAGTTTTCCTTTCTCTACAATAATGTACAGTATTTGAAAAATAATGTGTTTTTTGAACATTAAAGCATGTCAACATATTCTGTTACACCAAATACACAAAATAAAGTTTGGAAGCTTAATGGTGGTGATGCTAAAGTCATGTATAGCCTTTTTGGCTTTTTACTTTTGGAGATTGTATTTAGGCTTCTAAATTCACAAAAGATGTGTTCATTTGTGAAGACTATCACATGTAAGAATCATACATTTTTATTGGTCACGACACAAACTCATTTTAGAAGCCAATGCAAAAAAAAATCCTATAGGGTTTTTGTTGAAGGAACCAGGGTTGGCCTACAAAAATACCTCATCACTGCAGAACTCTATTGTGCATTCATCTTTCTTTCCTGGTCCAATGGCACTCTCTAGTGGACTAAATTAAGCAACTCAGCCCCAGACAACAAGACCACAGACCATCTGATCTATAGTGCACACAAAAATGAAAAGAACTTTCCAAAACGCCAGTCTGATTGGTTGGTATTTAAACCAGTTGGTTGCCCACCAGAAAGTTTCTCTCAAATACTTGTGTTAATCACTGAAAAAATACAACTCAAATCAATTACTTATTTGGCAAGTTACTTAACCCCCCTCCCAAAAAGGCCTTAATTTAAGATTGAAGTATTTTAACTGCACATCCCATCCATTTGCACAGTTTTAACATAAAATAATAAGCTATTTAAATAAAACATGTGATGCATATTTGTCAATCATACATAAAGAAAAAGGTAAGATTTTTGCACTCAAAAATAATGAGTTTTTATTAGCTACATTAATCTATTTGATTTTATTGAATCATATTTTCAAAATGCATTTATTAAAATTGCTTAGAATTAATTTAGTTAAATAGTATGAGCATGTTTAAAATATGGCTAGCTGTGGAACAAGCAATACCTATTTTTTTTTTTAAATGCATGAGATTTAAATAAATTGGATTTATTGGTGTAAAACAGAATATTTTAAAGGTTTATATTACAGAAATCTTACATTTTATGTTAAAGCTGTGTAATCCAAACGTACTGAAATTTTATATGCATTTATCTCTTTATTTTTATTAAAAAAAAAATTTGTGCAATGCATCACACACCGGACACGAATTTTATATGCATTTATCTCTTTATTTTTATTAAAAAAAAAATTTGTGCAATGCATCACACCGGACACATCCGTCTTTCCGTACTTGTGGTGCATCGTCACTGCTGTATGAACTCACCTGTGCCTAACTTTGCAAACACCTGCATGGAGTCGTCAAAGCGTTTCTGACAGAACAAGTTGAAGGCAAACAGGTTCTGAATGTGATGGATCTGTTGTCTCTTGTCTGCATCTGAATCATCCTTCATTTTCTGAGGAAAGACGAGACAAAAACAAGCTCAGCATATGATAACACTGTGTACTTTGCATTTAGTATTTACTGGATGTGAAAAAGTTTCTCACTGCTAGCTGAAGTGCCAGTTCAAACTGTTTGTCCTGTAGCAGCTGTCGTATCTGGCTGGCTATAGAGATGGGCACCAGACGCCAAACAAAGTGATTGCTAGCGACATACACAACATTTGATCTGTGAAATTACAGAGGGAAAAAAAGAAGAGTCAGATCACCTTTCACAGCAATTTAAGGAAAACATGCCTTAAACATTAGAGCAAAAATAACTAAAGTTGGGGTATGAGTAAATGTCATGAAACTGTCAAGATGATGAGCAAATAACTTTAATAAACATCATCTTCTCAAATAGGATGCATCTGCATTCTGCAGGTGTTTCAGTGGATTATAGGTAAATATCTGCTTCAGTGAACACAAGCGGGAACTGATTCAGACTTTTTTGCTAACCTGTTTGACCAACCCATGAAAAAAACAGATTGATCGACAAATAGGACATTACTAGTTTTAAACAAATGTCAGAAAAAACAGGAAAACATGACTAATGAAATCGCTTCAATAGACAGGTCTCACCCAGCAGAGGTGATGAAGCGCGGTCTCTGCAGTTCTACGCTCTGCACCAGCAGTCTGGGCTCAAGTGTGCGGATCTCCACATAGCGTGACAGCACTGCGATGATGTACGGTGGCTGGTGCTCTAATCAACAGCCATGTGAAAATAGACTCAGAAATCAGTAGAATGGATTTAAGAATGGTAAAATGTGTTAGACAGTACCATACTCTCTAATTGCTAGCTGAAAGTTCAATAAATAAGAGGAAACATTTAAAAAGCAGCCATGCAAAGAGCAGAGGATTTGATGAATTTTGCATGTTGAGTGTTCTTAGTCTGTGGAAATCGGTAGGTTTTTCTCCTGAGTTCTGCAGGCACAGAACAGCTCTTGCATTCATTCATTTCCATGACTCAGTTCGAATTCATTGTAATGACTCGATTTGTTTGTATCATCACTCAGAAAAGGTTTGTGGAAGTTTTCAGAATGTTTTAATGAAAAAATGTGTAGGCAAATATTGCTGTTTATTACACACAAGTAACTTTACATCATGATAACAATGTATATCACGACATGGTTATTTTTGCTGGAAACGAGGCTGTTAGATACCAAAACGTTAGATACCACAGAAATTTCACAATTCTCCAAACTAATTTTGACACCAAATATTTTTTTTTTCAGTTATTAAGAAGTAATGACGTTCAGTTATTTGAGTATTTTTGCTGTTATTATTATTAACAGTTTATCAGTTGAAAGAAATGACATTATGTTAGGTGTGTTTTCAATTTGTTTTTGTTGTGCTATGTACCGTAAGCTTGTGGATATCCGATTGTAATTTGACAATGAAAGTAAAATTAGAGGAGATTTTCAATTTTTTTTTTTTTTTTACTGATTATTTGATTAGGTTGCCAAAAGTTAAAGGAACACTCCACTATTTTTGAAAATAGGCTCATTTTCCAACTCCCCTAGAGTTAAATAGTTGAGTTTTACTGTTTTCGAATCCATTCAGCCGATCTCCGGGTCTGGCGGTAGCACTTTTAGCTTAGCTTAGCATAGATCATTGAATCTGATTAGACCGTTGGCATCTCGCTCAAAAATGACCAAAGAGTTTTTATATTTTTCCTATTTAAAACTTGACTCTTCTGTAGTTACATCGTGTACTAAGTAGGGATGCGCCGATCCGATATTCACATCGGGTATCGGCTCCGATAGTACCATTTTTCTCGGATCAATTGTATCGGATCGGTATCGGTATTGGCCAATACCGAACCCTAGATATCGGAATCGGTATCGGAGGCGAAAAAGGCGGATCGGAGCATCCCTAGTACTAAGACCGATGGAAAATATAAAGTTGTGATTTTCTAGGCCGATATGGCTAGGAACTATACTGTCATTCCGGCGTAATAATCAAGGAACTTTGCTGCCGTACCATGGGTGCAGCAGGCGCAATGATATTACACAGCGCCTGAAAATAGGCTTATTGGAAGTTACGTAGCTGGGGACTATTTTCAGGCGCTGCGTAATATCATTTTGAAAAATATAGAAACTTTTTGGTCATTTTTGAAAATGATATTACGCAGCGC